AGGTTAGATCCATGGTTGCTAGGCAACAACAGCACAACAAAGACTAGACCGACCATTTCACAGCCTCGCACTTCCAACCTTCTCGGTCTTCGGAGGACGCGGCCCACGTAGACCGCGAAGGCCGCGTCCTCCAAGGCTGCAGACCCCGAGCTGGGACACAGCCCGAGTGTCCGTATGAGGAGTGAGCTTCCTGTTCGGACTCTGTGTTTGTGATAAAGGTATGACATTAAACTCTGGGTTACTTACTGAAAGTTTCACTTCAGCCATATTTGACTATAATTGTTGAGGTAAATCCACAGAGAGCTAAAGCTTTATGTTAATGCTCAGATTTAAGATTCCAGATCAGACCATCAAAGATGTTTTTCACAATATTGGATTTTTTCAAATACTTGATGTAAACTGATGAAAATAAAGTTTTTATTTATTTGTGTAAATAACCTCTTGTAGCTGACTGGCACCAGCTTCACAGCCCAGCAGGGGGCAGCAGACTGATTCTGTTTCACTGGTTTTATTTCAGTCAGTTTGGGCTCAAACATCAGGCTGAAAATACAACAAAGCAGAAATTCGTTGTCCTGCTTACATTTTTCTTGGTGATGTTCCTCACATCGTGGACGTACTTGATCTTTCCTTCATGCCTGACGACGCCCACTGAGATGGAGTCCTCGCACACCTCCGATGCCACATACTGACCCACCTTAAAACCCAGATCTCTCAGAACCAGGTAGCCTGGAAACAAACACGCTCATCTTTACATAGGAACACACACACACAGACACACACACACACACACACACACACACACACACACACACACACAGACACACACACAGTAGCGGCTCTGAGCTCCTCGCCTGTCTCTCTGAGCCCGGCCATCCTTCAGAGGAAACACATAACTTCACCTGTGACCACACCTGACCACGGGTGGGAATGTAGCCCGACCACTAAACTGGCTGCTCTCAGCAGTCGGCGTCCGTTAGGATCTGTTGCTGGTGTGTCGACCACCGCTGTTCTCCACCTCCACGTTGGACTGCAGCTGGTGACGGCAGTCCTGGTTCACCAGAACATGCAGCAGGTGGAGAATCTCTCCGTACGGTGACCAGAAGCAGGACCACCAGCTGCAGAACAACTTGGATGATTTGGAGTCAGTTTGCAGGACGGGAGACTCTCTGCAGAGGCGGCTGATTATTTATTTCAACAAAACACACCCTAAATATCTGCAGAGGGGAAAACGATGGTTTATTATTGAACCTAAGCCTGAGCTCGCCTTCATCCTCACCTGTGGCAATGCCGTCAAACAGGGACAGCACTCTGATTGGTCGTCTCTGCTCTGCAGGGACTGCTGGGTAAATCTTTGGTTTCTCCTGAAAGGCAAACAGAAAGCAACAGAAATGAGACCTGATGCTCAGCCGACGGGTCAGAAACCAAACGCAGCGTTCGTCCTGCTGCTCCCGCCGTGCACACGAGGGGCACAGAGCTACCCGTGTGATTTCATCAGGTGTGCTTTACAAGATCAGATAAAGACACGAAACATCTGAGAAGAAACTCACAAACTCCTGTCCGTTATCGTTGGCGAAGAACTCCTGCAGCTTGAGGCTCCAGTCGTGCCGTCGTTTGAGGACGCCGTACCGCAGCAGCGGCTGGCACATGTAGCATCGCCACGGGTCTAGATAGCGCGCCTGGTCGGACGCACCCGGGTCCACCAGGATGTCCAGACAGTCCACGCAGAAACACCTGGAGGGAGCAGGCGGAGAGGAGGTGAGCCGAGGGAGGGGCAAAGAGTGGAGATGGTGTTTCCTGTTCCTGTCCGTCGGACCTGCAGCAGTTCACGTTACCGCAGAGCAGAACCTCTCGACCGCCGCAGCAAACGGTGCAGTAAGACTGGTAACCGTCGTCGTCGTACATGTAGGACATCTCCAGGTACACGTCCTGAATACACACAGGAAACCATTCATGACTTATTCAACCAGGAAGCCCCTTCAGATTAAAAGCTCGTTCGTGGCAGACCTGAGCAAACAGCACACTTTATGTTAGGTAATGAAAGAGGAACAGAACAAATATGAAGCTCTCTGACCTTTAACCT